CAAGGTGTCAAGACAGGGGCCCCTCTTACCTGGGTGGTACTGCCTCTTTTGGGTAAAGAGTTTTGGGGCAATAGAACCTTCCTGTCCTAATAAAAACAGCTTGATTCAAGAAGCAGCTTCGTTTTTCAGTCTGGTTGTCATTAGGAAAGTCCTTCCCAGTTGATTCCTCGCAGGGGGTCCGCTCCTCCTGAGAAAGGGCCAGATGTTCACATGGAAGTCAGCCGCACCCTAAAGGGTTTTGTTTCCCTGGCTGTGCTGGCATGTAGCCCTGCTATGCAAAGACCAGTGTCGGTGCCTGAAACAGAGGGTCCTACGGACTGAGGACTGTGTCTGGCGAGGGAGCAGCACTTCCGTGTTCACATTGGCCACTCATCGCTCGTCTCCAGAAAATCTGTGTTTCAGAGAAGGTATTGGCTTTTATTTCTCTTAATAACATCTTTTATTTTCCTGACTTCAAATATAATATCAACTTATTGTTTTTAAAAAGTTGAAAAATGAGAGAGGAACTTTAAATCATCCATGATCCCACACTCTGACAATAATCACTATCGTTACATTAGGCAATTTCCATTCCTTCGTTTGTTCTGTTCCTTGACTGAAATTTGGTGGTGGTTGTGTTTTGCCGTTGGCTGCTCGAAGGAGGAAAAGAGAGAGAGACACAACTTCCTCCTTCCCCTCAGGTGTAGCAGGGTGCCAGCCACGGGGAGAGAAAGGCGCCTCATGGCATCTTCCCTCCACACCTTTCCAACCTCCCTCTCCCACCAAGCTTCATCGTGACCACCCAGGGCCAGGCCCAGTGGGAGAGGTCATACAGTAATCCAATAATCACATGTATGGTCCCCAGGCTACTGTTTTAAAGCAGAGTCAGCCCTTGGCTTCAGTTCATAGATCCTCTCACCAGCCGGAGTGGGTGTGTGTATTAGTCAGGGTTTGGATGCAGTGAAAACAGCCTCGGGATCCCAGTGGCTTGCAGCTATAGACATTTCCTCTCTCCGTGTCTGCAGGCCAGCTGTTCTTGGCTCCGGATGGTGAGTCAGATTCAGGTAGTTCCGCATGCCTCTTACTGTCCTCAGCCCAGCAGCTACTTGTGACACAGCCTTCTCATGGTGAGTGGCGAAAGGGCAGGAGAATGAGTGGAAACATGCCACCACCTCGCAAGTCCTCTGCTCACAGTTGTGCATGGACCCTTCCACCTACATGTTGTTGGCCAAACAAGTCAGGGAGCCAAACCCGGCATCAGCGGGACCAGGGAATGAGCACTGCCCATTCTAGGCAGGCACTGCACAGTCGCCTGACCACGGGCAGCAGGGGTATCCTGGCACAGGGCGGTAGAGGAGAGTTGAGAGTGGTGGTCAGGCCTTCCTCGGATGTGCTGTATTAATCCCCAGCTCCAACCAGACCCGTGTTCACTGGTGGTCCACAGAGACCCAATATTTAACCACATCTGGGCCTTTGTACATGCTTTTCTTCCTGCCTCAAATGCTCTCCTTACTCCTATCTGAATATTGAACATCTTTCACGATCTAGTCAGACTTTGACCTCCTCTGTAAAGTCTTCCTTGATCATCTTGGCCCACAGTGATGTCTTCCTCTCTGAAAACCTATAGAATTTCACTCATTTTGAATTTATGAAGTATCTTCTATAGCTCCCCTACCTACAGATAATACAGGGGTGGGAAAAAGTAGCTTAATAATAATAAATCATACAATAATTAACAAATTAATAATAATACATGAAAAACTGTTTTTGTATACTCACTCTGTAAGCCTACTTTTGCCAATCCCTGTTCATAGTCAACTGTCCATCAATCTATCATCTATTTCTGTTTCTTTTCTCAATGTGATAGAGCTTCTTAAAAACAGATATTTTACATGTAAAGGCTACTCACAAATATTTATTTTTGGATGATAACTGTTTGCTTGATTTACTCTTTATTCCAAGAAGGGTTCTATTTAAGTAAGTAATGTATTTGCTGTTTCTTTCCTATCCAGCTGTCCCACATCTTGCATTTTCAGAATCTATGCAGAAGGGATCAAGCTGTGACTGAATTCACCTGATTGTCCAGTTTCTTTTCATCAGATAATGAGTTAACTCCCGAGTTCTGCTGCTGCTACAGAGCAGCTCGCAGTGAGCCGGCTGACCAGGTGACAGGTGGAAGTCCTGGCCAAGGGCAGTCAGTCCCTTCTAAGGACCGCCCTCCTGTTCTCCAGCTCAGATTTACTTTGTGGTTTTGCATTCTCATCAGAACAAAAGCACAGTGTAGCACCGTCACTGGGAAAAGGGGGAAAAGGTATTCAGAAGTTGAAAAAGAGAGGGATCTCAGAGAAAAAATCTCAGAGAAAGACATGGCTCAGATCCGGACCCTAGAAAGTGGGGCCCTTCACAGTTTAGAAAGACCCTTATCTGTCCCTGCAGACGGTGACACACTCTCTCCTGTTCCCAGATGAGGATGAAAAGCACATGCCATGGAGTGTTCTCGTTTCATTCTTTCAACTTATACGTTTCCGGGGCCCTCAAGCAACGTGTGCTTGCTAGCGGCCCTCTCAGCGTTCACTCTCATGACTAGGTCATCTCGTTTTTTTATTGTGGTAAAATATGCCGGTACATAATGTAGAATTTACCATTTTAACCATTTTTAAGTTACAATCCGTGGCATTAAGTACATCCACACTGCTGCGCTGGCTTCTCTTTTGTGGGATTTAGAGATGAGAAAACTTAGGAAAAACTCAAAGCTCTGGCACTGCCTGGCCTTGGGCAAATCACTTAATCCTTGTATGTCAGTACATAATGTAGAAATTACCATTTTAACCATTTTTAAGTTACAGTCCGTGGCATTAAGTACATCCACAGCTGCGCTGGCTTCTCTTTTGTGGGATTTAGAGCTTAGAAAATTTAGGAAAAACTCAAAGCTCTGACACTGCCTGGCCTTGGGCAAATCACTTAATCCTTCTGCTTTCCTGATCTTTATCATAGCAATGGCACCCGAGTTACGGGGTTGTTCTTGAATGGCTGAAATGAAAAGCATACCTGGAAGGCCTTAGTGTAGAGTCCTGGCAGGTGATATTTGTTATCGATTATAGCAAGTCATAGTCTTCAAGCCAAACATGTAAAAATTAAGATAGTTTCTGAACTCTATACGAAATCACATTAATTCACAATCTACTATCCATCCAAATAACAAGTAGAAGTTAAAAGCCTTGAAAACATATTACAAGATAATTCAATAAAAAAATTATCAAAGGAATTGTACTTGACTTTTTCCCTCTGTTTAAGTCACCATTTTTATGCCTGCTATTTTTGGGAGATATCCTAATTTTGCAAATCTTATTTGCCCGGCAGTTTGCTTCCTAACTCTGTGTCCAGTACACTCTGTACTCAAACTTCAATAGGAATAAAATTTATCCAGGAAGAATGTCAGAATTCAGATTCCCAGGCTCTGCACCAGAAATGTCTGTTTAGTTTGTTGGGAGGCCAGGACCATAAATTTTATTGAGCAACAAGGTGGTTTGGGGATCACACATGCAGAAGCACTCCTCTAGTACAAATAAACTTCTGTGTCTACATTCAGGAGGGCCCTTAATTCATTCACTGTGCTCCAGAGGTATATGTTCTAGTTTTAATACATTTTTTCATGTATTTTTTTGTAAAACTCTATATCCGTCATTCCCAACATGGGGCACATGCCCCACAGAGGGGCAATTTGATTTTTAAGGAGGGCAATTCAAGAATGAGTTATTAACAGTGAATTTTTTGCATTTCTTATGGTTCTAGGGTCCTCACGTATAGTATATAAATATATATTGTGACATATTTAGGCATTTAGGCATTTCTCTATTATAGGTTTTGAAACTTTATTTGCTATTTTTCCATATCACTTCGGATTATTATTTTTTAACAATTTCTTAGTGATTTCTTCCTCAGTACTTCAGCTGTCCTTTTGTTCTTTTATTTTTCTCTTTCATGGATGCCATGTTCTCTGGAAGCTTGTTTAGACCAAGTTAATTGTCTTTTAGGCTTCCTTCACGTGAATAGGAGTTCACTTTTGGAATAATAAGAATTATATGCCAAGGAGGAGGGGCATCAGGATTTAGAGATGCTTAGATGGGCATGGCCAAAAAAAGGTTGGGGACTGCTGCTCTACATTTTCACATAAAAGTCCTCAACTATGGCAGCGGTCACTCATACTAATCACTTTGTACATTGACACTTCAGCTACACTGGTGATGTAAAACGTAGCCCTTGTATGATCATGATTTTTTTTTTTGAAACTTAAGCATTTAACATTTAGTTTCAAGCACCGTATCAATATTCAGTATTAACAAGTTACGATACCTAGATTTATACAGACTCTGCTTAGAGAATATGCACCCATTTGTGAGTGCCATGATCTTCCCTGCCTTGGTTAGGCTGGCTCTCTTTCAAGAAAAGCCCGCTCTACTTCTGTCTGTCCTGAGGGGTTGCCGAGCAGCACCCTCTGTGTTGTGATTGACCCACCGTTTTTAAAATTAAAATTAGTTGCCAACAGTTACAAAAATCCAGACTCCAGGCTTCTCCTGATAAGCCAGAGCCTCTAGCCCACGGGGCCTTGGAATCGTACATGGCGCCCACCAGCCCAGCAGCTCCCTCCTGGATGTGGAACATGCGCTCCACCTTCAGTCCAGCCCTAGGCCTCCCAGCTTCCAGCTTTTCCACATGTTGTAAATCTAGGCCACAGAAGTTAACAACCAAATGATGTTGTGTCCTCTGCCAGTGTTTTCAATCTTGTGTTTGTTTCCTCATTGATGGTGCACTATGGGAGAGAGAGGAGGTGTGCGTCTGCCCAGTCATGCGGCAGTCAGCACGCAGGAGGCCCTCGGTGAGCTTGTGGTTGACAGAGAGCTTGCACTGTGGTTCCCAGTTTATTTCCTACGGTGCATCTCTCTCCAGCAAGACCGCAAGTTCCTCGGTGACTGGCATGGTGACGAAGACTAACTGATCTGATCTTTTAATATTTTATTTAGAATTTTTACTTGGATAACAAAGGAAAAAAAGAAAGCAAGGAAACAAATGAGAAGATGAATGCTAAGAACAAGGAATGCTTACTGGAGGTAAGTTAATTTTGCACAATAGAAGAAAAGGGGAGGACTTTACCTGTACTCACAAACTTCCTTATGAGGTTGGGGCTATTATTGCTCCATTCTTTCAAGGAAAGAAACTGAGGTTTAGTTACTTTCCCACTGTCACAGTGCTAAGTGGTCAAGAAGCCTTGAAGTCTAATTCAGGAGCCAGGACTCTTAAGCACCATGGAGTTCTCACTCTCTTTAGGCAAACAGCATGCAATATAAATATACTAGAGGCCCGGTGGATGAATTCATGCACGGGTGGGGTCCCTAGGCCTGGCCAGCGATCAGGGCCAATCAGGCCATCTCACACAGTCCCTGTTGGGGCCTGCCAGGCCAAGGAGAGGGACAGGGGAAGGGGTGCGGGAGGTTGGCCAGCGGTGGGAGGTTAGCCAGTGGCGGGAGGTTGGCTGTGGGAGTACATTGAGGGGGCAGCTCCTGCATTGAGTGTCTGCCCCCTGGTGGTCAGTGAGCATCATAGCTACTGGTCAACCAGTCATTCCTGTCATTTGGTCATAACGGTTGCTTAGGCTTTTATATGTATAAATACCTTCAATCAGAGCTGTAGACAAAAATAACTATTAGCTTAAAGGCTAGTTTGCCACAGTTTGTTTAAATGTGAACAAAATGTATTTTACCTTTCATGTGTTTATATAATTGGAATCTCAATTTCAGGAAAGCTTCTGTGGAACATCTGTCATTGTGCCAGAACTGGAAGGAGCTCTTTATTTGAAAGAAGATGGAAAGAAATCCTGGAAAAGGCGCTATTTCCTTTTACGAGCTTCTGGAATTTATTATGTACCCAAAGGGAAGACTAAGGTTAGAAAGGGAAAAATCTAGTAAAAAAAAAGTGTCATGGAAGTGAAACTAAAGAAATCTTCAGGTGGCAATTTAAATACACTTACTTTGTTGTGAGAGTGATGTTATTACAATATTTATACTAATATTCACCCTATTGGGATAGATTTATAGAAATCCTCTTGTAATATTTCCATAGCTCTCTCTTGAAGGTGAAGAATTTTATCTGTTTAAAGTCAGGGTTCAAAAATTATGACCAAGACCTAGCCAGTTTGACTCAGTGCTTAGAGAGTCGGCCCACAGACTGAAGAGTTCTGAGTTCGACTCCTATCAAGGTACATACCTCGGTTGCAGGCCTGATCCCTTGCCCCAGTCAGGGCGGGTGCAGAAGGCAGCTAATCAATGTGTCTCTCTCACATCTATGTTTCTCTCTCTCTGTCTCTCCCCCTCCCTTCCACTCTCTAAAAAATAAAAATAAAATAAAATAAAAAATCCTTGGGTGAGGATTAACAACCACAACAAAAAAATTATGCCCAGCGTATTTCTCTAGAGATTAATTTGTTACTTTGTATGCTTATTCCTGAGAACTTTCCCCCCTGTATTGACTATTTTGTTCTATAGTCATAGTAAAATTTCTTTTATCTGGGATCATAGAGGTATTAGAAGTCTTGATAGATCTTCATTTAGATTTTAGCCCTTAACCTCTGAACATTGAGTTGTCTTCTGAGGTGTACTATATGCATTTTCCTAATTTAGCAGAGTTCCTCAGACGTCATTTAATTTTTACTTGGTGATTCAGTTAGTGCCTCAAATCCATAAGCATAGAGTAAGTTCTTCTTTGAAATATCATTTTAACTCTCATTTTGACCATTATCTTTTTCAAAGACCCTTCTTAGAGGCTCAGGGCTTTTCCACCTTTTGTTTATCTTTGAAAACTTTAGAATCTCTCTCATCTATATCTGGGGTGAGCCAGAACATTTTGCCTGCACTGCCCAAACCAGACACCACCAAATGGAATATTCACAAATTGCAGGCTTCTTCTGATAGGCTTAAAACACCACCCCATGCAGGTGAAGTCGTGATGAATATGCAGGTCTGTGCCCAGAATCTATAAGACAATGTTATCTCTATTGGAATGCAGGAGAGGCATTATGGGTAATGCTTGGTCTAAGGCAGCTACTAGTAGCTCCTACTGATACAGTCCCAGCTGTGCCATCTTCAGTCCAGTCCTACTCTGGGGTCATCACAGTTGACCCACTCATGATTTGTTTTGTTTTAGAAATGCTATGTCTTTGGCATTCACATATAAATGAGGCATAGATAAACCTACTACAAACAACACCCTTAGTGATGTTACTATAGGACAACATACTTTCTCTCACAGCTGCTACTAACAGTGGAGTGGAGGAATTAGCCAGTAAGTCAAGAAAAAGAATAAAAATGTAATTATTGGAAAAGAAGAGGCAAAAATTATCTTTATTCACAGTTGACACAATTGTCTAACTATATAAGACACTCAATGGAAACACTATTAGGATCAAATAAACTTACCAAATAAGAGATTGTTTTTCTTTACACAAACAATATGCAAATTAAAATATAAAGCAAAAGGTTTCATGCATAGCAGAAATAAAAAATACAAAATACCTAACAATCAACAAGAAATGTTGAAAGCTTATGTGGCATAAAATATAAAATTTAATAAAGAAAGTGAAATAACTGAATGAATAGAAATGTAACATGTTACTAGATGGAAAGATTAATTCTTCCCCACAAATTTTCTATATATTCAATCCCAAGAAAAATTTCAGTTGAATTCATTTTACTTGAAGTTCACAGACTGTTTCTAAAATTAATCAGAAAGATGACACCACAAAAATTGTGAAGAACATTAAGGTAGAATTCCTCCTCAAAAAAACATTAGACAAACGTAGGACAGGTAGAGACAAGCAGATAAACAGAGAGCCATCTAATAGAAAGGAAATTAAAGTAAGCATTTTATAGCAAAGGAGGGAAATGTGCTATTCAATAAGTAGCATTGAAAAAAACGTACATCCACTTAGAAAAATAAATTTAGGCCTTATACCATGTTCTAAATCAAATTCTAGATTAATTAAACACATTTAAGAAAAAGGAATATAAAACCTTAGAAGAAATACACATTAATAATTTCATAATTTAGGGGTGGAGTAGCCTTCTTAAACAAGACCAAGAACCCAAGATTATAAGGAGAAAATTGACAGGTTTGATGTACAACGTTGTTCTTAATTCCTCGTGGCCAAAGATCCAAACAAGAAATTAAAGACTAGCTATAGAGTCCGAGAGTACATCTGCAGCATGTATAATCAACTATGAAGAACAATAAAATACAAAGAGTTCAGCAAATCAATAAGAACAAGATAAACACACTCATAAAAAAAGGTCAAAGCTTATTTAGTGAGAATTGACAGGAAAAGGAATATCAGTAGCCACTGAATAAGTTAAACGTTATCTTACTAAAAGCAGGGAAATGTAAATTAAATAGTGAAATATTTCCTCCCATGAGATTGATAATATTAACAATATTGATACTATCCAAAGGAGTGGAAGAAAAATGGCACTCCCTTGCACAGAGGTTGGAAGGTAAATTGGTATAAAATGGTATTTATAGTAAAATTTCACTCATGTTTCAAAAATTGTGTGTGTGTAAGAATATGTATGTATGTATGATATCTCCACATACATATGTGTATAAGTGCTTTCCCAAAAACATGTGGAAGAATACTACTAAACTATTAACAATAGTTTATGGAGAAAAGAGTGGAATTAGAATAAGGAATGATGAAGGAAGATTTTCATTTTATTAGGTATATATGCATTGTTCTTTAAATTATAATGAATATGTTTTATTTTTCTAATTAAAAAGCTAAAACTTTGAAAATCTAGAAGAAAATATCATATAAGAAAAAAACAACAACCATAAATAAAGGAATAATTGGGCACTGAGGTGTAGCAATTCTGTCCTTCACTCTATTCACTAACTAGGTAAAGAATTATAGAATGTGATGTGGGGGAAGAGTAATAGAACAAATTTGTAACTGAAGTGTAACCAAATATGTAGATTAGAGGTAGCAGTCTTCACAGTGCATGTTATACATGGGGGAGAGATTTCTGTTTCCATAGCAACACCATGGACAATAAAGAGGAAGTATGAAAGGAATCTTTTTTCCTCAGGAAGAAGTGCATGAAGTGTGTGCTGTTTTCCTTAGCATCACATTTACCTCTCATTGTTCCTCCTGAAGGGGACTTTTTTTTTTAATGCTCAATCATGAAATCCATCACTGACTTAGTGATGGCAAAAGCCAAAATGACATTTCTGATGAAGTGGCTGGTTACCTTGTCTTGTCAATAATGATGCCTCAAGGTTAACTAGTCAGCGCTGACCCTGGGGGTCCATGTGCAGGTGCCAGAACAGCAGTAGAATCTTTCACTCCACTCTTGGGCCTGTGGCACGCCATTTCGCCTTAGGTGAACTCCTTTGCCTCTTAAAATGCAGGCTTGTCATTTAGGAAACTAAACATGATAGATGCTTCAATAAATTACCTAAAATTCAACATTTTTCCAATAAAAAATAAAATGTCAAATGTCATATAGTTAACCGCAAGTATAATATAGTAAGCTTTTTATTTTAAACCAACATAGGAAAGGAGGAAACATTTCTACCAGCTCAGATCATTTCCCAAGTCTACGACTTTACAGCGAATCTGTCTGACAGCTTGGCGATTACCAGAGGGGAAGTGGGATGGGGAAAGTAGAAGAGGATAAAGTAGGGAAACAGGGGTAAATGGTGATGGAAGGAGACTGTACTTGGGGTGGTGAACACACAATACAATAAACACCTCAAACCTATATAATTTTATTAACCAGTGCCACCCCAATAAATTCAATTTTTAGACAAAGAAAAAATTAAAGTGAATCTGTATGGGCTTCTTCATCGCTTATGAAAATGAAAGCTCTACATTTTGAACAAATGTTATGTACAATTTTATTGATAATACTGAATAAGTTTTTCAGTTCATTACTTATTGGACCCTTATTTCATTGTAAGAAGATTTTAGAAATTAGGAACTTGACATGTCCGGGTTGTGGGCCTGATCCCCAGTAGGGGGAGTGCAGGAGGCAGTGATCAATGATTCTCTCTCATCGTCGATGTTTCTATCTCGCTCTCTCCCTCTCCTTTCCTCTCTGAAATCAATAAAAATATACTAAAAAAGGGGGGAGGGGATGATGACTGGGAAGATACCAAGAGCTAATTCACAATTTAAAAAAAACAAGATTCATTCATTTATTCAATTTTCATTGAATGCTAGCTATCTGCTAGGCACTGTCCCAGGTGCTAGGAATACAGAAGTGAACTGAACATATGATAATCCCTGTCCTCATGGAGCTTACATTCAGTGTGTGGGAAATGGTAATAAACAAAAAGCATGCAATGTGATGTCAGGGCATGATAAGGCTGTGCTTATGAAGCAGGGTAGAGGACAGATGTGCCCGGACTGGGGCCAGGAGTTCTTTGGATGAGGTGTTCAGGGAATAGCTCTCCAAGGGAGACCTTCAACCAAAAGATGTGAGTGAATAAGAATTACCTGGAGGAGACCATTCCAGGAACAAGAACAATAAGTTCTTGCAAAGGTCTTGAGGTAGAGCCTATTGGGGTCAGAAGGGAGAGAGAGAGATGAGGAGAATGCCCTGCCTACTGCAGGTTCCTGCACTTCCTTCTCTGTTCCTGGCATAGGAAGGGCAATGAGATAATGGCAAACACTTGAGTGTTTTAAGAATTTTACATATACGAACTCGTTTAATCCTTTTATTGACCTTATGAAGTGAGAGCTGTGATTCTCCCTCATTAATAGACATGGAACCAGAATGAGATGCCAGGTGGGGCCTCAGAGGCCGCTACTCTCTCAGACACTATTTAATAAGAAACAAAATATCTTCTCTTACCCGCTGTACACAACCACCAGCACCCTTGAACCATGTCTTCATTGTGCTCCTATCTGACCCTGTGGTCCAGGTTTGGAATCCTGAGACCCTGAGAAATGACCAGAATGGAGGCCCTCATTTCCATGTGGGTGGTTCTATGCACTTCATCTCTGAAGTGTTGCCCACATCTCTCAAGTAGGGAGAAAAGTTCTGAAATGCTGGTCAGTAAACTGGCTGAATACAGATTCCAGGGCCCTGGACCCACTGAATCAAAATATTTGAGGATGGGGCCCAGAAATATCCATTTTTCTTAAGTTCAATGTCCTAAGTCTAAACGTCAACAGTCAGGACTTAGCTGGTGATGAAATACCCTCCCGAGTGGACAAACAGGATGAAAGTTGTCAGAAGGAGCAAAGGCCCAAGACACGGCACCAGGGCCATGGACTGGAGCAAGAATGGCCGTCTGGAGAAAGACAGATTTTGGGCCTAGAAGTCCCCAAGATGGGACTTTAGACACAGTGAACAGACTCAGCTTCCTGTGCCGACACACATTTAGGACTAGGTCCTAGAGTCACAGCCTAAGTTGAATTATCAGACTGGGACACAGGCTATCCTGGGCACTGCTGCAGATGGCGTGCTGGGATCCAGGGTATTGGACTAGAACTTTTAAAACCCTCATCTCTGAGGCCTGTGTCTCCAGGAAAGAGTTGGGGAAGAAAGCTCAGAGGTGGAGAAGCCCGCAGGCCTCATGGGTCTAGGAACCAACAAGAGTCAGGGGCAACCCTAGCGGAACATGTATTTCCTTCTTTCTCACAGCGTTGATCTGTTCTGGCCTCAAGCCAGTTTCTTCATGTGCCATCACCCTGCTCATTTTGCTCTTTTGCATGCTTGTCAGTTCCTTCCCAAAATATTGGGAATATTTATTAATTTGCTGAGTATAAGGCTCTGTCACCATTTGGAGATCTTATTTGTTTATGAACATTTTGGTCACATATTTCCCTTTCTGTCCACTATGGAAAGAATTGTTGATATTCAAATATTTCACTGGGATAAGCAGATTTACAGAATTCAAAAAATACACACATACATTTCAAAAGGAATGCAACACATGGGGAAGTATGTTAAGAGATTGCATGATTCCACCCTAGCCAATTTGGCTCAGAGGACAGAGCATTGGCCTACAGACTGAAGAGTCCCAGTTCGATTCTGGGCAGGGGCACATGCCCGGGCTGTGGGCTCGATCCCCGGTAGGGGGCATGCAGGAGGCAGCTAATCAATGATTCTCTCTCATCATGGATGTCTCTATCTATCTTTCCCTCTCCTCTTTCTGAAATTAGTAAAAATCTATTTTTTTAAAAAAAATAAGATTGCATGATTTCGTGGACACATACTGACTGATAAGTCCAGCCAAGAAGGTTTTTATTCCCCGGGCACCCCTTCTACTGGTGATTATGGTGTGAGCCTCCTACTCATCTTTATTTACTTAGCAGTTGGTGTATTTCTTAACACCCAGAAGTATTTGTGGAATGTGTGAGGCCTCAGTTCTAGTTAGGGTTCTGCCACTCTTTGGACTTGGACACATGGCTTACTCTCTCTGGCACTCGGTTTCCTCATGTGTAAGTTAGAGGATCTGTAAGTTCCCTTTCAACAGTGATGTTCTGCAATTGCCCCGACCTCTGTGCTCCGTGCTGAGCTTCTCTCTTTTTATGGTAGAGACGATCAAACCAATTGCAAAAGAGTCTAGCTTGTGGAACTGAACCAGCATTTTTTCCTTAAACCGCTTTGCAAATAATTTTGCAACAAAAGGCTCAGTTAGGCAGTAAACCCCTTGGCAAGGTCCCAAAACATGACTGGAAAACCAGCACAGCGACTTGCTATATGATGGCCGGGGAGCCAAAAGGATTTCTGTGTTAACAAGGGAGCCGGGAAGGAGCCTGGTGTCTACCAGGCAACTCATCTTAGAACCATAAAATCTGAGCATTGCAAGAGTCCTCGAGGTCATCTGATGCTTAATTCTGCTGCATATGTTCATAGCACACATGTGGTGTAAGGACATCAGTGAGGTTCCCCCTCTAATGTTGGAGAAAATGAACCAGGGTCTGTACATCTGTCTCCTCATCATAGAAGCAGCCACTGACAAAACGCAAGTTCAAGAGTTCTTGCCTCTCTTTTATGCTCAAAAGCCATATGTTTAAGGGAATGGCCACATTTCACCCTATTTGGATGAAATTGTTTATTGTGCTATTTCTGTGGATACCTCTACTACGTTGCTTTGTGCATTTCATTGCAAGCACAATGCGAGTTATAGTCTGCTCCTAGGAGCCTGGCTCTCACATGGCATGCACCAAGTAAATAAATAAATACTTTCAATATGGCAAAACCAAAGTAACAATGTCACCTTTTTCAATTTCTCAGAAAAAAAACACAAACCTGCTTTCTAAGAACAATTATAAACATTAAGTTGCTGAAGTGACCATGTTTCCCCCTCCTATTTGACCGTCAGAACAAGAACCTTGTTCCAGGTTAGGGAACTGTGTTTCTGGTGCTGAAAGAGGAGGACTTTGGTTTGTCTCTGTGAGTTTTATGTTGAAAGGAGTACTTCGGGCATCTGTGGAATGTCACGTTCCATTCAGGGAATGAGTCCTCAGCTTAGTGTACCTTCCATCAGTGTGACCTGATTAGTTAATGTAACAAATCCTCTTTTTGCTGGTGGATCACATTATTTGAGTTGATGGTCAGTTTCACTTTTAAGGGACTCAACGGGACTCAAATGGGATAACATTTACAAAAATGAAATCTAATACTCAGAATTAATAAGGAAGCATTGAACCCAAATAAAATCGTGTTACACATTGAAAAGTATGTGTTGCCATCTGCCGGCCAGAAAGGAAAAGGACAGACTACATTCAGGAGCCTAATGTGGAGCTCAGGAGAGAGGAAGCCTGTGGAACTTGTTCAAGTGACGCTGACACAAATTCTGAGGGCTGAGGGACCTCAATAAAGGGAACAGTTTATGCAAAGATAAAAGGATAGCCCTAGCCAGTTTGGGCTCAGTAGGCAGAGCCTCGGCCTGTGGGCTGAAGGGTCCCAGGTTCAATTCCAGTCAAGGGCATGTGCCCAGGTTGCAGGCTCAATCCCCTAGTAGAGGCCGTGCAGGAAGCAGCCGATCAATGATTCTCATCATCGATGTTTCTCTCTATCTCTCCCTCTTTTTTCCTCTCTGAAATTAATAAAAATATATATTTTTTAAAAAGATGAGGGACAGACATTCCATTCACAAAAGTGACTGTTCTTAATATCTTCCCCCAATAAAAAATATTCTTTAAAAAAATCCTATATAATAAAAGCACAGTATGCAAATTGTCCCCTTGACCGCGAGTTTGACCACGGGGCAGGGGGGTGGTGAGGGAGGCCCTGGCTGGCAGCAGTGGCCAGGGGAAGGGAGGGAGTGCATTGGGCCTCTAGCAAAAGTATAAAGGTAGACTTTAGTCAATTGGCTCAAAAGCAAAAAGGAGGAATTTTTTATAATTCCTGAATTTTTCTGAGGCATCTTTAGAGTTTGGAATTTTGGCTTAATAGCTTGATAAAAATGTATGAATTCTAGGGGGTAGGACAAGAGATTCCAAGCTTCTAGTGGCCCATGGGGTAAAATATATAGTAACCTGTCTGAGCCTTGGTTTTCTCATTTTTAAAACCAAAAATTACTAACCTCTCACCAAGCTCTCCAAGTCTCTGTGGGTCTTGTTATTTGTTCTGGGCACAGTCAGCAATATCACTGATTCTGACTGGCTGTGTCATTAGATAGATCAGCAAGGTGACTACTCCAGATGCTGCTTCTCAGATTCAAACTGAAGTTCAACGCACAATGACCTTGGCTAAGATCAACTTTGAAAATAGCCACTTCCTTGAAGGTCAGTGATTAAGCCAAAAGCAAAACTGAAGTGGGGAGATCTGTGCAATAAATACTCTGAGAGGAGAAGTGGACAGCTTCATTCCCTTCCTGCCCACGGAAGGTGGCTTCCAGCTCTCTTGGCATTCTGCCGGGGTTCTGGTCCCAGCATCAAGAAGGGTTCAGGAATCTGGAGAAGGCTGTGAGTAGATGTTAAATAAGAATCTGGGAACTGATAAAGAGTCCGGAGATGAGATATAATTTTGAAATTGGCCAGTAGGAGGCAATAACATGTAGAGTAAGATGCCTTTTAGCTGTCTGGCAGCCACAATCAATTTAATATATCCTATTCAGGTTTGAGGAAATGCTTTTAGCCGTTTCCAGATGCAGATGACTACATGGGTGACTCAACCCTGTTGAGTCTCCCGAGTTTCATCAACCTTTTGATGAAACTCTTGAAATTGTGACATGCTGGAATTGGTCTCCGGCAGCATTCCATCTCGCTTTCAGCACCACCCGCAATTTTATGCTGATCCTAGTAGGATTAACGAACTCCTCTGAGAAATGGAGGAAGATAGAGGTGGTAACATGTGCCTGAGCACGCACACAAAATGGTTATGGTTGGAAATTATTTCTCTCTGTATCACAAACTTTATGAAAAATTATAAAAACCCATGAAAATGTACATGGTTCTCATCTCAGAACCTAGTTTTGGTTGCTGGCCCCTCGCCTTATGGCCATAAGACTTCTGGCGAACAGGAATTCTTGCACTTGTTTATTTCTCTTAACAATAATTTCCACCTTTGGCCCGGAATACTGAGCATGTACCAGGCCATGTATGAAGCCCTGGGGGTCTTCATCACTGAATGGCAGACATGGTTCCCACCCTCATGGAACACACAGGCTACCAGAGACAGAGGCATAAAACAGAAATTACAAAGGCAGTGAGGATTCAGAAAGATGGGTGCAGGGGATCTATATGACCAGGGACCTGTGTCTCTCTTTCCCTTCCTGGCTGCCTGTATCACTGTTCTCACTGTGAGCTCTGGGAAGGCCTGATGATTCCTAGTGCAACACCCAAGGACATTGCCACTTGAGATTAGACAGAATTATTGCATCTCCAGACCATCCATCCAGAAACCAAAAATGGCCCATTTGGGTAGGAGATCACAGTTAAGAAAGGATAATTCTAGAGCATCAGACTACAGACTAAGGGTCCCAGGTTCGATTCTGGTCAAGGGCACATGCCCGGGTTGCGAGCTCAATCCCCAATAGGGTGCATGTAGGAGGCAGCCAAATAATGATTCTCTCTCATCACTTGTGTTTCTATCTCTCTCTCCCTCTCCCTTTCTCTCTAAAATAAATATAAACATATTTAAAAAAGAAAGTATAATTCCTAAGTAGCAGAAATAACCTTAGGATTGACTGGGAATCACAAAAAACATTATTAATTCTGTGACATAAGAATCATATTAGGTAAATTCCCTAATCTGATAAATGGAGAAATTTCTTGTGGGGCTAGAAACATGATAGTTGTGAAAGCTTTCAAAAGTTGAAAAAGCAGAAATGAAAATTATAATTGATAATATAGTAAGAAGTGCTTATGATAAATCATGTCCCAGATTTCCTAAATCCCTTCAAAATTTAGCCCATTTTAAAAGTATCGCTCTTACCAATCCTAAAATTACTCCCAGTACCTATTGCCACCATCTCAGGAAATCACATACATTGTTAGAGTTTTTTTAATTTTTTTGAAATATTATAGAGTTATACACCTCTGGCCCGGAATACCAAGCATGGAACTATATGATTTTATTAACCAATATCACCCTAATAAATTCAAAAAAAAGTTTAAAATTTTTTTGAAAAGCACTAATGAATGAAGAGTTTATGAATGGTCTTTGATATGACTATTTTCTAGCATCCCCAAATTCAGAAGGAGTCCCAGTACATCAAGTATCTCTGCTGTGATGATGAAAGAACCCTAAACCAGTGGGTCACGGGAATACGGATCGCAAAGGTGAGTGAGCATTTGGACCTCACCCTATCTTGAATTTGAATTTGCTGACCACCTACTTGGCCTGGGTCCAGTCTTTGTGTTCTTGTAAAACAGTTGATCCATTCTTTTCTTTTTTTCCCCCCAAGTTTGTAAGTACTAGCTTTTATTTTATTTTATTTTATTTTATTTATTTATTTTTAATTGTTTTATTGCTTAAAGTATTACAAAGAGTAGTACATATGTCTCCTTTTTTTCCCCCCCTTGACTTTTGGAGAGGGTTGGGGGGTGGGGATAAGAGATCAGCCGAAGGACTTGTATGCATGCATATAAGCATAACCAATGGACACAAGACACTGTGGGGTATAGGAGGCCGGGGGAAGGTCAAGGGGGATCCATTCTTAATATGTCCATGCCACCGATATTATTTGTTTCTTAATATGTCCATGCCACCGATATTATTTGTTTGCCCATTGTATTTTTTAAATAGGTGACAGGGATAGAAACATAGACCTCTCCTATGACCTGAGAATCAGAGGTTTACTTTCACATGAGACTTTTCAGATCTCTGTTTACTCATGGAGAGCATTGCAAGTGTGGTGTGTAATTAAGAAACATGAGGTATAATTACATACACAAGGTGTAGAATTACACAAAGACATATAATCAGAATTCCATAGCTAAAGCTCTCCTCTAATGTCTAAGTAAAAGTAGTAACTGTGTCTGGAAAATTATTTAACACATGAAATAACACAGTTAAAAATCTCGGGTATAAATTTTTACTCCTCAAAAACTTTACTAATAGCCCACCTGTTGACCAGAATTACCAATAACATAAACATCTAATTAACACTTTTTTTTCATCCTCACTGGAGGATATGCTTATTTATTTGAGAGAGAGAAAGAGAGAGAAACATCAATCAGCTGCCCCCACTACACATCCCAACCAGGGATCGAACCTGCAACCTGGGTATGGGGGAAGGCTACAACCAACTGAGCCACCCGGCCAAGGCAATACATATTTTATATGGTATATGTATTATATACTGTATTCTTATAATAAAGCTAGAGAAAACATAGTATTAAGAAAATTATGCCCTGGCTCACTGGATAGAGCATCAGCCTGGGGACTGAGGGTCCTAGGTTCGATTCCAGTCAAGGGCATGTACCTTGGTTGCAGGCACATCCCCAGTGGGGGGTGTGCAGGAGGCAGCTGATCAATGCTTCTCTCTCATCGATGTTTCTAACTCTCTATCCCTCTCCCTTCCTCTCTGTAAAAAATCAATAAAATATATTTTTTTAAAAAAAGAAAATTATAAGGAAGAAAAAATATATTTATGGCATTTATTGAAAAAATCTGTATATAAGTGAACCCACGCATTTCAGACCTGTATTGTTCAAAGATCAACTGTACTAAAAAAACAACTTGAGAAAAGAGTAAAAAGAGTATTCATGAAGTATTTCCCCCCTCAATATGTATATTGCAAATGAGTGCAGAATTTGGGATAAATAGATGACTTTTTGCTGTTTTTGTGTTTCCTCCCTAGTACGGAAAGACTCTCTATGACAACTATCAGCGGGCCGTGGCAAAGGCTGGGCTGGCCTCTCGGTGGACAAACCTGGGCACTGGCAATGCAGCTACACCAACTCCGCCTTCTACAGGTACCACACAGAGCAGAAATCCTGACACCTCTTTGAGCTCAGAGTATTAGGGTTTTGGCCGGTGGTGCAAGCTGTGAAAGAATTCACAACTGAGAGAAGAGATGGATGCAGAGAAAGGGAGCTTATTTTACTTTCCATGAAGGGAAAGGGCCAGTGCATTGCTAATCAATACAAGGGCAAGAAAGGAAAGTGGCTTCCCCCTTTTAAGCCCTGGCTGTTGCTAAGCAGCAAGGAAGTTGAGCACATATCAGGGGGGTGATAGTTTGTTCCTTAGGGCAGATGTCCTAAGGAGGTGTCTTTATCAGCATCTTCACACGCCTGTAAAACATGCTTAGAGCAAACGCTATGATGAAGAGTTCAAAAGAGGCTTATTTGAAGGAGAGGGTGGAAGGGCTCTTTCTACTAATTATCCCTGAGTTGTGAAAACAGCAGGTAAGAGGATGGAAGAATGTAGCCTTGAAAGTAACTGTCCCTCAGTTTGAGCAGAGGAGCTGTTTGACTCAGAGAAGCTAACAATGTTGGGGTGTAATTACCAGGTGCTCCTCATAAATTGTGGAAGGCTACCGCCAAAGAAAAGAAAGGCCTTTTTCTGACCTTACACAGAGCTCACGTTCAAACTTACCCAACACATCTTATAGAACCAGAGCTTCGTAGACAGTACAGAATATATTTCTCTTCTGATGATCAGGCTCAAGATCTACACATAGTGCCCTGGTCGGGTGGCTCTATTGGCTGGAGCGTTCTCCCACACCAAAAAGGCTGCGGGTCTGATTCCCGGTCAGGGCACATACCTAGGTTGTGGGTTTCATCCCCTGTCATGTCAGGTACAGGAGACATCTGATGGTTTTCTCTCTCTCTCTCCCCTGCTCACTCTAAAAATCAATAAAAAACAAACACATAGCCACACATATACATGCCTGTATCTGTTTCTTTATAACTGACTTTTGGCAGAGCTTTGACCTTTTTTCATGATATGCTTGTGGATCAGATGGTGGTCACCAGCTCAGAGTGAGCTGGTAGGAAGCTGTCTCATCAGAGTGCAAGTGTTCTATTTGTCCAAGGCTTCATTAGTCTCCACCACACTGCCCACACCAAGGACAAGATCATTCCCTGATGTTTTGCCTCAGTGACATCATGGCTAGAGCTTTGTACCCAATCCTGGACCCACATTTTTTTAAAATATTTTTATTAATTTCAGAGAGGAAGGGAGAAGAAGAGAGAGATAGAAACATCAATGATGAGAGACTCATTGATCGGCAGCCTCCCGCATGCCCCACACTGGGGATAGAGCCCGCAACCCAGGCATGTGCTCTTGACTGAAATCAAACCTGGGACCCTTCAGTCCGCAAGCCAACGCTGTATCCACTGAGCCAAACCAGCTAGGGCTGGACCCACATTTTAAGGGTAGAATTACAGCTCCTTGTTGTGTCTCTGAGGGCAGGGCAATGAGGGATGAAATAGGGACTACATGCAGCAACATATAGCTTGTGGTTCTTACAACAGCCCTGCAAAGTATAAATTATTATCCCCATGCCACAGGTGAGAAAACTGAGACTGGGAGAAACTAGTATCTAGTATCTTCTCAGTGGCTGAGCTGGAATTCAAACTCATTTATCTTTAAGATAAATAATGGTGAAAGAACTGGAGCCAACTATTAATGGCGGAAAAGTCTGGTCAGTTTTCCAGTGTTGAAGGGTGATCATAGCAAAGGCCAGCATTTATGTTCTTTGCTGCTTCAAAGGATAAAACCAACTTGAATGTGCGGAAGTTGCAGTGAGGTCAACTAGACTTAATCCACTCTCAGCACCATCTGTGTGCTGATTACCTATAAACATACAAATCACTCCAGCCTTCTCTGTTGACCTCCAAACCGATGTATCCAACAGTCTGCTCAATGGCTTTCCTGGATACATCACAGACAGCTCAAACCCAACATCTTAAAACTGATCTCATCATCTTACCCTCCAAACTTGCTCCTCCATTGCGGTTCTCTGTTTCCATAAATAAGATCATCTTCTAACCCATTTCTCATGCAGGACATATCCTCAAATCCAGTCGCTCCTAAATCCTGTTGATTCTTCCTTCTAACTGTTGGTCAAGTCTGTCCTGTCTTTTCATCTCATCAAACCCAAGCCACCGTCATCTTTCACTTGGCCTCATGCACTGGTTCAGTTGAGTTGGCCTCCAGCTAAGCCTGCATTAGCAGGCTTCTCCCCCTCCATGAGACCTTCCCCTGCCTAAAGAAAGCACTTTGGAAACTTGCTCTCAGATAAAGTCCCAAGTCCTTAGCAAGACCAACAAAGATGCATAATATGTGTTTATCCATCTCTCCTCCCTCTTCTCCCTCCCTATCTTCCTGTTCCTACCACATATACCATTTGCTTTTTCCCAGATCTGCAAATCCCCCAGCACCATCCTTTCTCAGAGACTTTACAGATGCTGTATCCCTACGTATCCCAGGCCTCAAATGAACTGTCCTTTGTAAGCCAGGCATGATTAATAAGCCACGGATGATTATAATCTGTGAGTTCCTTCCTCTAGAGCAGCGGTTCTCAACCTGTGGGTCGCGACCCCTTTGGGGGTCAAACGACCCTTTCACAGGGGTCGCCTAAGACCAACGGAAAACACATATATAATTACATATTGTTTTTGTGATTAATCACTATGCTTTAAGTATGGTCAATTTGTAACAATGAAATTGGGGGTCACCACAACATGAGGAACTGTATTAAATGCTCGCGGCATTAGGAAGGTTGAGAACCACTGCTCTAGACTCTGATGGAAAGCACGAGGCCAGGGGCCATTTCTGTCTTGTGCATTATGGTTTCCCCAGAACCAAGTGCAATGCCTGGCAGATAATAGATGCTTAGCTGGAATTAGAAGATGGTTGGGACAACAAATGAAACAATTATTTAATAGCCATCTCATATGGTGATTAAAGATAATTGAATATATTTAAGGAAAGGGGAAAGGGGACAGGGTATCCAAAGGGAAGGGCTGGCTACACAGTACCAAGCCAAGGGGACATTGGGTTGATGATGGCAGCACCCAGGATGGAGTTTCATCCTTATATGCAGTCACTGGTGGGAAACTTGTCATCAGTGGTTTTGAGGGGCTGAGCTGGTGGGCGTGAAATATGGATGGAATGCAGGTGTGCTATCAGGTGTTTTCAGGACAGTTTCAATTCCTTGTATGGTCTGACTCCTGGAGTCCATTGAATTTTTCCTGGTGTTATGTTCCCCTATGGTGGGAAGCTTATAAATGGCTGTTAAGGATTGTATTGCCCTATAGTCCTAACATAGAGTTTCTCTGAAAATTAAGGAAAATAATGTATGTTAATTTCCTTAATGCTAAATGCACAGCAAATGTTAGTTCCATTCCTTCTAAATGATTTCTTAAAGCCAGTTTTTGAAGAACACCATTGCAGCAGTCAGATGAGATTTCCATTGATTAAAAAGATGGATCTTGTACATGATGGACTAACCCTTAGTACAGTGGTTCTCAACCTTCTGGCCCTTTAAAACAGTTCCTCATGTTGTGACCCAACCATAAAATTATTTTCGTTGCTACTTCATAACTGTAATGTTGCTACTGTTATGAATTGTAATGTAAATATCTGATATGCAGGATGTTCTTAGGCGATCCCTGTGAAAGGGTCGTTCAACTGCCAAAGGGGTCACGACCCACAGGTTGAGAACCGCTGCCTTAGTAGCTAGTGAATTAACCCAAGTTGGTGCTGCTGTAGAGTCTTATTTACCAAAAATCCTTAGGTTCTGTCATTGACACCAGCCCTACAGAGAAAAAACATGCTGAGATTTTTTTTAAATAAACCATACTGGGCACCACCCCTGCTTATTAATAAAACTAGAGGCCTGGTGCATGAAATTCGTGCACTTGTGGGGGGTCCCTCAGCCCAGCCTGTGCCCTCTTGCAGTCTGGGAGCCCTCAGGGGATGTCCAACTTATGGCTTAGGGCTGCTTCCTGCAGGGAGCGGGCCTAAGTCGGCAGTCAGACATCCTTAGCGCTGCCGCGGAGGCAGGAGAGGCTCTTGCCACTGCCGTTGTGCTTGCTAGCCATGAGCCCAGCTTCTGGCTGAGCAGTGCTCCCCTTGTGGGAGTGCACTGACCACCAGGGGCAGCTCCTGTGTTGAGCATCTGCCCCCTAGTGGTCAGTGCGCTTCATAGTGACCAGTCATTCCACCATTTGGTTGATTTGCATTTTAGCCTTTTATTATATAGGATGCTTCAGTGAGTATCTAAAGAGAAAAAAGTCCTCAATGTAAACTTTCTTTCCATTTATATCTTAGAATTTATTGCCATGAGCACTGGCTGTGTAGGATATTAAGTTCTATGGTAGTGGCTAGTGTGGAAGGAACTGAAGGTGAGTTTAGAAGGAAGTGAAGCACTTTCAAATAGAAGGTGAAGTTCATTCTTCTCAGTATGTACAAACATATACATACACAGTGACCATGGTCACATCTTAGCAACAGAGACCTGCTTGAGTTCAGTTCTTTTCAAGTTCAGTTCTTGCCAAACATTATTTATTTTCAAAGCCTCTCTCTTCATCTGAACACACAGCACAAAATAAGTAGGGCTCTCCAAAAATGTTGCAGGGACCTATGTCCATCCAAAGGGCCTGGTCAAAATCAAGCTCTATGATCCTTCTACCACCCACTCCCCCACAAAAAACAGTTAAGGTGAACCTCAAAAATGGTGTTTTATTAAAAAATGTGCTTTGCCCTGACTGGTTTGGTTCAGTGGATAGAGCGTCAGCCTGCAGACGGAAGGGTCCCAGGTTCGATTTCAGTCAAGGGCATATACCTTGGTTGGGGGCACATACCCAGTGGGGAGTGTGTAGGAGGCAGCTGATCCATGTTTCTCTCTCATCAATGTTTCTAACTCTCTATCTCTCTCCCTTCCTCTCTGTAAAAAAATCAATAAAATATATATTTTTAGAAATATATGAAATTTAATCTCACTTTTTTTAAAATGTTCTTTGGGGTCAGGAGTTACTGGCTGATTGCACTTACTTGAACCTCAGGCTGTTTGGGGCACTGGTCAAGGAGCCCCCTTCACCCACAGCTGCCTGCCTGAGTCATTGGCCTACAGAGTGGGGTTCCCTCCGAGAGGAGTGATCCCCCGACCTTGAAATTACACACCATAGGTCAGAACAAGAACTGGGGCTGAGGTGAGTGTGGAGCTGGGACAAGCTGTACCTGGGAGAACATGCTGTGACTTCACTTGGTAGGGCTGGACGCAGTAAGCCCGGGTCCCATTCTGCCTGATGCCTCCTCAGCTTTAGCTGGCAACTTTTCTCTGCGGATCTAGAATCCCTTTCTGCCCACCTCCTCCCTGTAAGGACAGAAAAGGGGCCTTTCTTTTCTTTTCTGTGGCCTTCCATAATTTATGAGAACACCTGGTAATTACTTCAAACCACAGATTGTTAGCTCCTCTGATTCAAACTGCAAGACAAGCTGCTCTCAAGCCTACATTCTTGCATACATACCCCTTCTCCTTGTTGTTTTTCACAACTCAGGGATAATTAGTAGACAGTTCCCTTCAAACAAGCATCTTTTGAACTCTTTCATAACTTTTGCTCTAAGCAAAGCATGTTTTACAGGCTGATAAAGACACCTCCCTAGCACATCTGCCCAGACTAAAAAACAAATTTTCAAATACAAACCCTTGATGTCTGCTCAATTTCAGCCCAACAAACCCCCCTGCCTTCCTTGTCCAAGGCTTTAAAGGGTGGGGGGTGGTGGGGGGAGGTTGCTTTTTGTTTTGATTAGCAATGCAGTGGCCCTCTTCCTAAACTTCCTCTCTGTATCTCTTCTTTAGCTGTGCCCCAAACCCTAAAACTCCCCTTTCTCTTTTCCTGCCCTCTCTTCTTTACATTGTTGAATCAGAGTCCTGGAGAAACATGCCCAAGTGGTGCAAGGTTGCTGGCTGGGAGGCATAAACCACGTGGGACCCACGTGTTTCTGCTATGGTCAACCTACTGAGAAAACATGGAGGCACTGTTCTACATCCAAAGTGCTTAACAATAAGTCATTGATTTGTTGTTGTTGTTGTTAATCCTCACCCGAGGATATTTTTTCCATTGATTTTTAGAGTGTAAGGAAGGGAGACAGAAAGAGACAGAGCCTGGCCGGTGTGGCTCCATGGTTGAGCGTTGACCCAGGAACCAAGAGATCTACAGTTTAGATTTCTGTCAGGTCACATGTCCGGGTTTCGGGCTCAATCTGCAGTAGGGGATGTGCAGGAAGCAGTTTATTAATGAAGTTTCTCTCTCATTGATGTTTCTACCTCTCTGTCTCTCTTCCTCTAAAAGTCAATAAAAAACATATTTTTAAAAATCTGTATATATAGAGAGAAACATCAATTGGTTGCCTCTTACACATGCCCCTACCAGGGCCTGGGATCGGATCTGCAGCCCAGGTACGTGCCTTGACTGGGAATCAAACCCGAGACCCTTCGGTGTACAGGGCAATGCTCTAACTACTGAGAAACACTGGCCCAGGGCCATTCATTCTTTATAAATATCAGTTTTCCTTTCATATTGGGCAACAGACATGGAGACTTTTTTGGTACTTATTAACACTAGAAAGACTGAAATTTAGTATATACCTATATTGCCCCAAAAGCCGTCAAAATGACTGCATTGTGAAAGAATAACTAATGTGTAAAGAAATTTGTTTAAAATTAATTTTTAATATTTTTTATATTATTTACAGTTATATAACAAGTTATTCGACATTTCTTTCATGAATTTAGGGCACAAAAGAAATAAAATAAACAACTTATTAGAACAAATATCACTGCATAAAGATTCGAATAACAAGTACTAGTTTAGCTTATTGAGCAACTGCAACTTATCAAGTATCGACAATTTATCATGTACTTGTATGTTATCATGTGACGGTAATCGAAAAAAACTGAAAACTGGTATTTCAATACAGAGACGAACTGGTC